ACTTATCATCATTTTTTCTATGTGCCCTTCAATCTATTGAGAAATGAATAATGATAACATTATTACATTTTGTTTGTTGCCTTTTTGTTTTTCTCTTTTTTATTTTTATTATATTGGATTAATGTCGGAAGAAAGACAAAAGATTTACATGAAGGATAAAACAAAAAAACAAAAAAGATTATCAGCAAAGGCATAAAATTTTATGGTTTAATAAATTTTGTCTTTTTTTGTTTGATAATAAATCAGCGCTCTTTTATCTGCTAACAAATGTTCGATCTTTGAATTTTTATTTTTTTTTTCCTTAATTATGCGACCTAAACAATTACATATTCGAAATATTGAAGAATATCAAGAATTATTACAAGCATTAGAATTTGATGGTAAACATATTGAAAATTTAACCAAAGAAACTATTGAAAAAATTGATCATATGCTTGATGATGATAATGATTTATTTAATCAAACAAATCTTAGTGTTATTCAAACACTTGCACGTGAAAGTGTTGTTAATGTTCCAACATTAGTCGATAATAAAATAAATAATGATAATAATCCTATTGATAAATCTCATTTAGTTATTAAATCTAATGAACAATTAGAAATACTTATTGAACGTGTTAAATATGAAATATTTTTATTTATGGAAAATGCTGAAAAAATTCGTACTTTAATTGATCTTAATGTAATGTATAAGAATAATATTGATTATGAAATACAATATTTATGGAAAAATGAACTTGTTCAAATGCAAGGACAAATTTCTTCAAATCAAATGGATATTTTAATATATTATAAAGATCGAAGTGAAATTGGTATAAATATACTTAAACAACCACGTATTAGTGATTATTGGGAACAATTAATTGAAATAGATGAAGATTTTTTTTTTAAACTTAGAATAATACTTTATAATTTAAGATTATATAATCTTCAATTGTATCATATTGTATATTGTTGGATTTATTTTTCTAATAAAATTATATAAATCAATGATCTATTGTAGAATTTTCAATGAAATCTAATTTTATTAAAGTTTTCTTTGATTTTGAGTGTAATTTTTTTTTATAGATGTTAAGAACCTCCCCAAAAAGTTGATTTTTCGAAGAGGTATGAGTGTGAATTTTGATTGTAAGTAGAATAGAGATCTCATTTTCAATAAGAAGACATCTTAATAGTAATGCTCATTTCAAGAAAAAAAGTCGATGGATATTTTTTGAATAACTTTTGATAGATACAATATAGAGAGCTGCTGATTTCACCTTTAGAAAGCAGAGATGAAGATGCATGTATTACAGGATTTTTGTTTGACCTGGCGTTTTTGAAAATCTACAAAATTAAGTAAGTCTCAGTTTTTTACATTGAATTGTTCAGAAGTTATTGGTATTCTATTTAAAATTCTCAATCGATTTTTTTAAAGCAATTCCTGTGAGAAAAATCACTTTCTTATTTTTTTTTCTCTATGATATATGATTCGATGCGACTTTATCTCCTCTTTCTAATGATGAAAATTACAATGCTCCATCCTGTGTCGATCAACAGTTATTCAAAACTTCAATTAATCATCATTATTCCTAATGCAGCTGTATGCTGTATAGCTAAAACATTTAAAACAAGCATTGTTATAAACATAGTATGCCACTCTATCATTACAACTTGTGATATGTGCGTGTCATTAACGACTGTCTTACAATTATCGAAAGATTCTTGTATAATTACGGCTACTTTCAATTTTTGTTTTTGATCATATAACGACGGTGTATTGGATAGAAACGTCCAACATAACTCCATTTATTTATTTGGATAATATCAACTGTTACACAAACGAAGAATAAGAAGTTCTTTTTACAATAAAAACAATTTTTTGATATCGACGATTTTTGAGAAAGCTGAAAATTGACTATAGGAAATATATTTAACATTATTAAGTAATAATAACCAATAGGTAAACCGCGTCATCAAGCGTATACAAAAGGAAATTGGCGATCAAACTATACTTCAACAATACGAGAATTTAAAGTTCAAGGTTCTTAAAATGATATCTGATGATCGATAAGGAAAACGTTTATACACTTAATATCAAATAGAATGTATTAACATCGGTAGAAATAGTATCAGTTCATATTAGACCATCGACCTGATCATCAGCTTTTTATAACTTACTTTAAAGTTTAGTTCATCCGTCACAAGATAAATGTTAACAGAATGATGCAACAATTTTATCAGTTAGTTCTCGTCATCGTATATCAAATCACAACGTTTAATCAATTGATCGTTGCCAGTCGACAAAAAATACGAATTCCACGCTTGAGCAATAAGACATCTATACAGAAGGAACGATAAAATATGAACACGTATTCAATATTCAAATCGTTCACCTTTCATTCTGTCATTCAACTTTGACTGAAATCTATAAAAGTATGACTTCAATTCAGTAGTCATTGAAAAACTATTCAATTGTATTTTTATTCTACGATAAAATTTTACAAATTCAGAAAAGAACCTATTTTCTTTCTTCTTATTTATTTAGATTTCGATTGCAATAATATATTCTGTTCAAATATGAACATTCTGTGTTTGTATTTCTTTTCATAATTTCGTTCAATTCTACATAATTATAATTTGATTAAAATTAAGATTCAATTATATTTTTAAATTTTCAATATCATTACAAGAATACATTTGAATACTATAGTACTTTCAGACATTGAATCTTCAAATAATTTGCTATATGACAGAGAACTGTACATGAGAACAGAATAGCTTAATTTTATTGCTACTTTATTTGACGATTAACTCACACGTTTATATAATTATACTTAATATCAAATTTACATATTTATACTTAGAATTTTTTTAGTTTCATCAAAAGACATGACATTCGGTAATACTACATACGTGCTTTTAGTGCAAATAACAATAAGTTTTCTTATTATGTATTGTTTTATCTAGATATTATTATCTAATCTTGTGTGATTGAAAGAGGATGAGTGTCGATGTGGTGAACATCGGCATCCACACCGAATAGAAGAGTACAGAGAAATATTCAATTGGTATAAACAATTACTCTACATAATGAATTTTCGTTTAAATAAAATCGAACCTTCTCCTTACGAAGTTTTTGACTAAATATTAACAAAGCGAACGACACTCATTCATTTCAGAAATGTTTATTATTGACCGATCATGATATAATTTTTCATACTGAAAATCGATAAAACATTTGTAAAGGACATGTTATAATAAACTCGCGTTTTTTTTTTGATCGGAAATGTATCAGACAGTTGTTAGGAGTATTTCTTGTAACTTAGTTTGATTCCATCTTAACATAACATTTATGCTTATTTTCTAAAATATAAAATATTTATTTAGCAAAATGATTTGTTCTA